ATATAAATAGAGAAAGAACTTTTATCGAAAAATAATAGAAGAAAAAGAACTCCTATCTTTCTTATTTTTTTCACTATTAACTTATTCACTCCAAACGTATATTTATATACTGTAAGATTTAAATCTAATATACACAAAATATTTTTAAATTTGAAAGTTTTACATGATAATTATCATACGTTTATTTTTAAGTATAAACTTTTTTTTGAAAATATGGTGCTACATGTTATTCTATTTAAAAGAGTTAAGAATCTTTTACATAGATGTAAATCCGGTCTATGAATATAATAATAATTTAATAGGAGTAATAAAACTAAATTCTATAACTAAGAGAATATTTTAATAGAATAACATGTAACATTCAAGTTTAGCTACTTTATAATATATTTTTTAAAATAATTAATTTATAAATATTAATAATTTATTTAAAATAATATATAAATATAATTAAATGTTGAGACAAGAAGTTAAATTATAAATTAAATAGTTATTCATTTAACTTAAATGTGCACCTATCTCATGAACTAATATTTATAATAAATTTAAATATTAAAAAATTAATATAAACAAAAATACTTAAATATATTACTGAAAATGTTTTAAACCAAGCTATATCATCTAATATTTATGAAGAATATTATTTATATTTATTTTTGTAGTTCGGATTAATCTAGTAGTGTGTGGTTTGAACTCTGAAGTTTGAAGACTTTTTGACAGATTTTATACTCATGACTAATAAGTTTTTCAAAATCCTCCACATAATATTGTCTAAAACTTTTTAGTTGAATTCAAGTCATTCTTTCAAAGGCTACAACGTAGGCTCCAACCCAAAACAAACCAAACACAAATCAAATAAAGAAAAACAACCCAAAAGAGAGCACTACCTACAGCCATAGGGAAGGGACCAATAAAACCAGAAGAAACCAGAAGAATAAGCAACCACAAAAAAACTAGGACCTTTCTCTTTACCAATGCAAGATTGGACACAGTGGAAAGTCGACATACTAACCTTTCTCTTTTTTGTCGTTGTTGCTAGAAACCAGTTTCAAGATACTCATAATTGAGACACCAATCATGCACCCTTGTCGAATTTAAAAATTTTTTTGGTTAGAAAAAAATATAATTTTCTGTGTCGAATATATTGTTTCTCAATATAAGGTGTGCCAAAAAGTTTAATCTATCGAATAATATATAATTGTCGAAATATTGTAAACAGGTTGCTATACACAGATTCAACTTAGATTTAAAATAGGTATTTTTCAGCTTCTATAGTTTTGAGTTTTTTGACTTAGGAAGCAAGCTAGCTCAATTATAAATAGAGGGAATAATCCTCTGTTTTTGTAATCAACTCATAACAATTTGTATTCACAGAATTTACAGTTGCAAGTGAATAAAGATTTTTCACAGTTTGTGGGCAGAGAAAAATTCTGTGTAAAACGTAATCTCTTTTCTTCTTTAATTTTCTTTTCTTTTCATTGTCATTGTGTGATGATAACAATCTTGTTTATCAAGATTGATAGAAATTTATCATAGTTTTTGATGGATTTACAACATCTAATATCAAGAGCTCTGATTGAGCGATTCAAGGCAAGCAAGAACAATGGTAAGGAATCATCTGAACGGAGATTTTCCAGCAAGTCTTCAAATTCTTAAAGATGACAACTATGAGAATTGGTGCAAGCAAATGAAGGTTGTGTTTTCACTACGCCAAATAAGCTATTTAATAGCGCTTTTTTTTGTTTTTGATAGCGCTTAAAAGTGCTATTAACCGCGCCACTATTGTAAATATTTCTTATTTAATAGCACTTTAAAAGCGCTATTAAAGTACCAATTTATAATAGCGTTTTAATTAAAGTGCTATCAAAGTCAGTATTTTGCATGTTTTTTGTTTGTTTTTTTATAGCACTCTAAACAAAAAGCGCTAATATATAACATATGTTTGATAGCGCTTTCAAATAAAGTGCTAATAAATGGTACATATTTGGTACAATATTTTTAATAAGTACAGTACAATATTTTTTCTTACACAATCATTTTTTTTGGTGTAAATATAAAATAACTATATTCAATTCAACACAAATAACGCTTTAAGTTACTCATTGCATATATATTATGATCCATCAAATACCAAATAACATTTTAAATTACCAAATCCTATTGTTTCCAAATATCATAACATATAGAATATTAAGAGGGCGTTTGCATAGCCAAATTTGTAGATGCCCATCTATGAGTACTTCAATCCAAATCCAAAAACATACAATCAAATTCTCTAAACAAAACACCAAAAAAATAAGAAAAGAAGCATTCCATAGCTGTAAACATCTGCTTTTACGGTTATCGGTCGATTACTAACCCATTCTGGTGCCAAATAGCCTCTAGTGCCTCTTACCATTGTTACCACATGAGAATGTTCCCTTGCCATCAATTTAGCAAGTCCAAAATCAGATACCTTGGGACAAAAGTTTTCATCTAACAATATATTTTCTGGCTTGATGTCACAATGTATTATCTTGTTTCTACACTGCTCATGAAAGTATGCAATCCCTTGTGCAGTATTTTTGGCTATATCAAAACGAGTTTGCCAATCGAGCAATCTATCTGGTCCTCGAATCGAAGGGAAGATCCACTGATCCAATGAACCATTCTTCATGAACTCATAAACTAAAAGCCTGCAAAACAAACATTGCTTAAGCCAACTAAAGCGATGAAATTTGAATTCTTACGATGAAATTGTAAATAAAATAGTACACACCTCTGAGGTCCCTCAGAACAAAAACCACATAAACGAACAAAATTCATATGATGCATTGAGCCAATCGTGTTTACTTCGGTGATAAATTCTTTCTCTCCATGAGGCAAAATCTTATCAAGTTTCTTCACCGCGACTAAGGTACCATCTCCTAAGCTTCCTTTATACACACTTCCAAATCCAACTACAAAATATAAACAGTTAGCAACAAATTATATTAAAATTAAAGCGCGGTAAGATTCAATTCATTATAGGACACACATACCTGTTCCTAGAAGCTGCGAAAAGTTACTTGTCCTGATCTGTAAAGCGCGGTAAGTAAAATTCACTGGAGCACCTGATAAGACCAATGAACATTCCATCTCTCTTTTCAAAGTTCTTTTTCTATGAACACTGTAATACAGTAACATAGTGAGTAAAATAATGAGAACTATCATGCCTAGAACAATTGGAATAATCACAGCCTTTTCCTTAGCACTCCCCATTCCATCAGAAGAACTGTTATTAGACCTTCCCTCTTGTCCTTCTGGTGTCCATGAACTATTTGCTCGAACCTTCACAAACAAAGTAGAGCTCGTATCTTCAAAACCGCCGAAACTTAAACTCCTCAACACCCAACAAAAAGGTCTTTCTTCATTTAGTCCATAAACAGAAGCAACACAATCACAATCGGACAAACATGCATCGCCGCATTTTGATACAGAAGAAACATCACTCTCACTATAATTAGCTATTATTGAAGATTCAGAAAAATAATAATTAGTTTGTTGCACTGTCGAAATTCTAAAACTCGATGTCTTGTTTTCGTTTTTTCCATTAGTACATTTTCCAACCAGAGATGAATTCTCATAACATTGTCCATCTCTTCCTAGTTTAGAAGTTCCTGGTAAACAAGTGCAAGAAGCATTAGTCTTAGTTTTATCCAATTTACATACTCCATTACCACAAATTCCACCAATATCACATGGATTTGAAACTGCAGCCCACTGTGACACCCATTGTTTCGATCCATTTACGTCTTCCCATCGGTATAACCTCAGATTTCCATTCTCTTCGAGTGTCAGTCTCCTAAGAACGGTTAACGGTGTAGATTGATGAATTGCAGAAGCTAAACCTGCATCATCATTATCATTCTTATAAACATAAACTGCACCATCAGATGAATTTCCATATACAATTCCAAAGCTTCCGGCTTGATCTAAAACCGCGATAACTTCTCCGGTTACATTGGAAATATCAGGACCTTGCCAATAAGAATAGTTTGCATATGATTCATTTTCATCAAAAGTTTGGTAACTTTCTGGAAGATTGTAAGTTAGTGCAAGACTTAAAGAAGTTGGTTGCTGAAGCATTTTGAGAGCATAGTAGCCACCATGAGATGAGGATTTTGATGATGTTAATTCTGAAGAAACTGTTAGAGGCTGGTTTGGGAGAAGTGTGTTTGAAGGTTGAGAAAAACTCTGCCATATAGGGTGGTTGTTTGTGCTGTGAAGGATGAAGTTACCAGATTCTGACATGGTTGCTGATTCTACATTAGCATTTGATGTGTTTGAGGCCCATATGGTGACTTTTTTGTCGACGAGGACGAGGTTTCCTGTTGTGTCAAGCTCCAAAATTGCTTCTTGAGATGTAGGTGAGTTTCTGTTTGGATTGAAAAAGAAAATTAATCAGTTCATTGAGAGAGTATGATAGTGCAACAACGAAACATGGACACGATACAGGTATCAGATACGTCAGTTATTGAAAAATCTAGGATAAGATACGAAAGTAGTGATATTAGTTAATAGCAGATGTACCTATTGGGTGACCAAACGAAAGTTCGATCTCCTGGAAGGCTAGCAAACCAAATGCCTAACGTGAATAATCGATTATCAGTGTCTGATGGAGTGAAGCCGATAGTGAATGTTCCGTTATCAGGTAGTCCCGAAAAACGATCGAAGTTCATAATCATACTAACAGAGCAAATTGGAAAAAAAGTTGAAAACTAACTTGTCTCAGAATAATCACCGGCAGCCACCGTGATCGAACACCGACAATAAATCCATCACCAACGACTCTAACTATTTGTAATTTCTTCATTACATTGACTCTAACTGTGGATGACTGAAAGCAGATTGAAACTCTTGCACTATTTAGATACAAAACCATTCAAATATTGAATCACATGCAGACTACTTCTCCAAAATCCTTTATTGTGAGCATGCTTTGGTTAAATATCTATGTAAGTTAGTGATAATGACTAACTCGTTCACCAAGAGTAGGAATTGTTTGATGAAACGCATGGGCATGAAACGCCACTCATGTATGTCTGCATCCAGGCTGCATTAATACCAACTGCACCAAATAGAGTATAAGTCAGTATTTCTACAATATGCCTTTCAATCTGTATCTTGAAGAAGAAGAAGAAGAAAAGGATGATCAAACAAATACATGGTATATCTATAAAAAAAATTATGAGGAACAATTAGTTACCTGCAAGAGGGCCATTCTTTACTAGATTTGCAGCAATTTGTTCTTCGTCTAAGGAAACCACACTGAAATTAGACACGGAAGCAACAACTTTGCTTTTGTCAAATTTGCAGGAGCCATCTCTTCCTGTGTAAGCATAGTCCTTTTCTTGCACTACTCCCCCAGACTGGAGTAAATATTCAAATGCATTGTTCATCAATCCACCATTACAGCCCGAGTCACATGATCCAGCTTGCTCTGTATCACACTGCAAAAATTTTACCCATTAATTTATAACTAATATACATCATATGAAGAACAGCACATGGGAATACAGGAAGCAACGATACCCATGTCAAAACTTAAAAACATGAAGAGATAGTTACCATTACAAAATTGTGCTTATAACTTGTTTTAAGTTGAAGAATATAAATAACTAGGAAAGATTCAACTCATGCCAAGTGGTACAGCTTTGCCATCCAAGACAGGTATCCATATAAATTACTCACGTTAGAATGAAATATAAACAAAAATGATGTGAGAAATTAGGTAATTGGTCAAAAATGAAGACCAAATACTTCTACTTTTCACATAATCTTTCAATTTACATCTTATTCTAGAGGCAGCAACATATTTTATACTCATAGAACTTTCAGCACTATGACAAGAACACATTACTATCCATATAAATTACTCAATCCAAAATGAAATATAAGCAATAACCAGAATTAAACAAAAAGAAACGAGAAATTATCAAGCAAAGAAACTAACCACGTGATCGCAATCCACAAGCTGTTGTTCGCTAAGGCTAACTAGTTTCCCAGTAGCCAGATAGTGTGCTCCTTCTAAAGCTCCGGTTGTGCTAAACGCCCAACATGAGCCGCATGAACCCTAATCACACCAAATCAAATCAAATAATTAAAAACTACTATATTTAAAACAACTGGAATCGTGGTGTAACTTATATAGATAGACAACAATAATTGCAATAACCTATGAAATAAATAGTCCATACTTGCCTCCAAATCCTGCCTTTGGTACGTCCTACCAGCGAGGGAGAATTCCTTTTCCCACAAATACTGATCCGGGTTATAGTCCGCCCTGTGAATGTCGCAAAGTATACACACCAAAACTATAACTTAATATGGATCCAAAATTCATAACAAAATGAACAAGTCATCACAAGATAGAAAATCTTGATAACAAAGTATTTTCCCTAATAATTGCACTCAAAAGGGTGACGGAGACTTGAATATTATGGAGTTCCCAAGTCTAACATTGAATAGTATAAGTTGCTCGGCGGAGTATTTGAGTGACTTAGTTTGCCGGTGTCTCAGAAAAGGCCAACTACAGATGAGCTATTTGAAAATGGTCAAGCGAAGTTTCCTACAGTAGGCCTCCAGAATGGCGACTCTTGTGGGCAGTGTTAAGATATAGACTTGGGTATTATGGGGTGCTTAATCACCCCTTGGAAAGCATCCTCCATTAGCCCATACAAAAAGGAACAAGCTTAGCAAACTCCAGGTTATGTTCTCTGTTCAGCTAAGACTCTATTCACCAACGAAGTATCTCTGTAGTTATCCCTGTCATCATGTTTGGTCCAGCAAGGTAGATTTTGGCCAGGCCAGAGCTAATGCAGTGTACTTGAGAATGTAACAGTTATCTGAAACAGAATGTTCTAGGCATACCTGGGAAATCTTCACATAAATTGCTCTTCCTAATCAAATAGAAGGAATATATAAACAAAAGGCCGGGGAATTCATTTAAATTTTAATGCAATCTAAACTCCTATCAAACAACAGCCTAAACCATTTACGAAAAGTTTACTTCCTTCCCCTAAAGAACTAGGTCGGTCACTGAAAAATTCCTATTTCTTTGGTAGAGTCAATGCAATCCCATAGCATCTTTACAAACTATTCTGAGAAATTTGGAGAGAGACAGAACTGCTATAAAATGGCATTAACATTCATATAGATAAATTTCAGGGCTATCAACTCCTAGTGCTTTCTACCTTTTCTGTTTATTGTAGAGAATTGTAAGTCCCCTTGTTATGCCACTGGTTTGGACTCTAACAGCACCTTCTGTGCAAGTTACGAGTGAAGGATCAACGGCTGCAAGCAACGCTGTAGGGTCATGAAGGTAAACTCCTGTATAAAAGAACTATTAATAATTCGGATGATTAGGCCTATATTATCTCTTTAATGCAGAATGAAGACATACCATTGGTGTTGTATGCGTCACAATGGTAAGAGAAATACACCTCTAAGATTCCGGTAAGGTATTGAGCAAATTTTCCTTTTGAACTTGCTAACTTTTCTCGATCAGAACCTAGTCATTTTGTTTTTTCGGATGAGGGTAAACCAAAACAAATGTTAACATGACAAGTGACATGAACCATAATTAAAATAGAAGCATGCTCATAGCAGTCAACCGATGTCAAGTTTCATGCTAAAATACTGCCAATAGAGACACAAAGGTAATAAAAAGTTTCATGGGTTTCAAAATATTATAGGAACTAGTTATAGATATAAAACCAGTCACGAACTTCACTTAACAACTGAAACTTTTGAGAGTTAGTCATTGACAATTATCATGGGGGGAAATTATTTAAGTTAGTTGAAACTTTTGAACTCGGTCTCTCTCAATCCAAACACGGTGATCTTTCCCTGCCTTTGGCATGTGTCTGCATTAAATACTAAAAGTGCGGTGATACCATGGAAAATAGATTATTATCTACCACAATATTATCCATTAATCAAAGGTCTCCCGAGAATACTAGTTTGGTTAGGGAGACATCCATGAAATCTGTTGAGTTGAAAACATTATTTATGGGAACTTATTAATATAAAAGTTTAAAATAGTCATATAAAAGGTTGCTGGATCATGATGCATAAATCATGAAAGGAAAAGGAAACCTCGTGCATTTGGTTTGTTCATCAGGTTGCATTTGCTGGAGCTCTTGAACAACATTTTCTTTCATGAAGGATTCAGTACAACAAAGACTATGAGACTGTAAAAACGACAATAAAAGAGATCAAAACTACGGCAGTTCATAGCAAACAAGGAAGAAAACTTAATTAGAGTATTCATAGAAAGGAGTGAATTTTATTATAATTCACAAATCAAACATAACAATTTTGTAACTTCACTTACTTTATAACATGGGAGGGAGCAGTATCGTGAATTGCATCGAGGACATGTGTATTGAGAAAACTGCTTCTGACATCTATTTTCATATGAAAATGTATAAAAGAGATTAGCTTGATCAGTATTCTTACTACCAAATAAATATTTGAAAAACTATAATAAAATCCAGAGGCACTTACACATGACAGATTATTCGGGTAGCGTTTAGCGAGGAAGTAGAAGATTGGTCAGATGTAACTATAGTATCTGCCATTATTCAAACACCAGGGCCAACAAGTTACTTTCCTTTGATTACGAACTGCAACTTTCCTTTGAATCACAACAGATTCAGCTTTAACCTGAAACTCTATTCCAAATCAAAACACACATCAGCATCAAATGGCAACATTCAATTCATCAAAAACATAACAATAACACAATCCATTCCACACAGAACAATTTACAAACACCTTATATGCATATCAAAGAGTAGAAAATATGGAAATACTCACCGGGAGCAAGTTCAAGAAAAAAACGAAACAGGAAGGTGCATTCGACGAGATAGGATTCAGGTTCTTTTGTTTTCCACGAAAAATTGAAGTAAGGAGAAAAGATTGTAAGGTTGAAGGTGTTGTGCGCGCGAGAAGATTCAAGATGAAAGTGTTGAACTTTTATCCGACCGTGCTGGTAATGTTCGAGATCCTTCAATCCTCTCTTCTTCGTGTCCGAAGCGGATAGTCGCACCTTATATCTCACAAAAGAGAACCTCCTTGGATGCCTTTGATTACCTTTCTGAAAATGTGTTTTTTTTTTTTATCAATTAATTAATTAATTTATTATTATATATAAGATAGCGCTTTTTAATAAATGCTATTATATAGGTAGTCAAATAATAGCGTTTTATACAAAATGCTATCTTAAAGAAGTTTAATAATAGCGTTCTGGTACAAAGTGCTATCAAAATTACATAGTCTGTATTATATAATAGCGCCCGATTAAAAAGTGCTATTATAAATGTGTTTTTTCCATTTTAATAGCATTTTTTTTAAAAGTGCTATTAAATTAGGTGATACAAAAAATCATTTTTGGCGTAGTGTTTGTAGTCAAGATTTTTGGGATCTTGTGAAACACAAATTAAAACCGCTTGAAGAAAACGTTTCAGAAGAAGAGGCAAAATATAAAGAATCGAAGAAGAAGAAGAATTATAAAGCTTTCTTTATAATTCATCAATGTATGAGTCCAGACAAATTTCAAAAAGGTTAGTGATGTAGAATCTGCAAAAGAAGCCTGGGAGATTCTTAAGAAATCTTTTGGAGGTGCAGAAAAGTGAAAGAGGCGAGGTTACAAACTCACAAAAAAACGTATGAATTGCTTCAGATGAAAGATTGCGAGAGCATATATGATTTCTTCACTAGGGTTATAAAACTAGTGAATCAAATCAAAGTTTGTGGAGAGACTTTAACAACAAGAGCAGTTGTTTCAAAGATCTTGAGATCTTTGGCTCCGAAGTTCGACCATGTGGTAGTTTCCATAGAAGAGTCGAAGAACATGTCAACTTTGTCGAAGGAAGAGTTTCAAGAGACGCTTGAATCTCATGAACAAATAATGGTTGAAAGAGTTGCATGCAAGTCGAAGATTGATTCGACTTTGCATGCACAGTCCACAAGAGAAAGTAAAGACAAAGGAAAATGGTTCGACAAAGGTAGAGGTGGCTACAACAATTCGACTGGTAGAAGAAACCAGCAAGAAGGAATTATGTCGAATCAGAGAAGACCCTCATACAAAGGTAACCAAAGAGGTGGTGTTGAAGGTAGATGAAAAGTTGGTGGTCGAAAACCCTGACAAGAGTCACATTCAGTTTTATAATTGTCAAAAGTGTGGTCATTATTCTAGTGATTGTCTAGAAAAGCGAAAAAAATCCAGAAATGATGCAAAGTTTGCAAAGTATGAAGAAGAAGATATGATGATGATGGTCACAACAAGAGAAGAAGAGAAATTCAAGGAGCAATGGTACTTGGATTCAGGATGCTCATTACACATGTCTGGAAGGAAATATTTGTTTGTCAATCTATAAGTCTCAAAGAAGAACATGGTAAAATTTGCAAGCAACAATACTCTAATAGCTGAAGGTATTGGAGATGTTCTGATTATGAGGAAAGATGGCTAAAGGTCAATAATTTCTAACGTGTTGTACATATCAGACATGAAGAGAAACTTGCTCAGTATAGGGAAGTTGATCAAAAAGAATTACAAAGTGTCAGTAGAAGACAAGATGATGTGAGTCGTGGACACAAATTGAAGGTTACTCTTGAAGGCTCCCATGTCCCTGAATATAACCTTCAAGGTTGAACTAAATGTGATAGAGCACAAATGCCTAACAACTACAGCTAGAAGAGACGAGTGAATATGGAATTATCGACTTGGCCATCTTAACTTCAGAGACATTAGAGATTTGAAGAGAAGAAATATGGTTTCAGGATTACTAGAAATTGACATTCCAAATAAGGTGTGTGAGGAATGTGTGCAGGCAAAGCAGCACAAGAACAACTTCATCAAGAATGCGAGAAACAAATCGAAAGCAATCCTCGAAGTCATATACTTTGATGTATATGGACCAATCTAGGTGGAGCTGAATGGAGGTAATAAGTGTTTAGTCACATTCATAGATGATTTCAGTAAAATATTATGGACTTAACTGATCAAGAAGAAAAGTGAAGTGATCAAGGTATTTTCCTAGTTTAATTTTATGGTTGAAAGAAAAAGTAGTCGAAAGTTCAAGATTTTGAGAACTGATGTTGGTGGAAAATATATGTCGAAAGATTTCGATATGTTATGTGAGAAAGAGGGGATTATGCATGACGTGGTGCCACCCTACACTCCACAACCGAGTGGAACTGCAGAAAGGAAGAATCGAACCATCATGAATATTAAACATAGTGTTGGGGTGAAGTCGTGCTGACTCCAACATACATATTAAACTGATGTCCAACGAAGAAGCTAGAAGGAATTACTCTAGAAGAATGTTGGTTTGGTGTGAATCCAAGCTTGAGTCATCTAAAAGTGTTTGGATCTATAGCATATAGACATGTTCCAGATTAGTTAAGAATAAAACTTGGTGACAAGTCTAGTCTGATGATCCTAGTAGGATATCATTCGATAGGAGGTTACAAGTTGTTCAACCCAGTGAAAAAGCAGATTGTGATAAGCAGGGACGTGATGATAGATGAGCTTCAGGAATGCGATTGGACTGAAAAGGTAAACAAGGATTCAATGAGAATATTTTGTGAAGAACCAGACACTGAAATCGAAAGAGAAGTTCAACAAGAGGAAGTTAGAGATTATCTAAGTACAAACAGACCTTAGAGAACAAGACACATGCCTGCAAGGTTGTAAGGTTGCAATATTGTGTGATTACATCATATGCTTTGGTTAATAATGAAAGCGAGCTTGTACATTATGCCTTATATGCACATATCGAACCAGTCAATACAGTTGAAGCATTAAAGGATTTAAAGTGGGTGAAAGCAATGAATGAATAAGTGAAGCCCATTGAAGACAACAATACATGGTCACTTGTCGAATTGCCTTAATGCAAGAAGGAAATCAATGTGAAGTTGGTATACAAGGTGAAGTTGAATCCCAAAGGATAATTACCTCGATACAAGGCAAGGATTATGGCAAAAGGATTTCTTCAAAAGGAAGGAATTGAATTTGATGAAGTCTTTGCACCTGTGGCTAGAACCGAAACAATTAGGTTAGTTATTGGTCTATTAGAAATGAACAGTTGGCACATATGTCAGATGAACGTGAAGTGTGCATTTTTGAATGGACCTTTAGGCGAAGAAGTTTATGTTGCTTTTGGTTGGGATTTTTGATAAGGACCAAAATCAAACCAAAAGAAAAAGATAAAAAAGGTTCTTTGGAAAAGGTGATTTATATGATTCGACTACTGATGCAATCGACCTAGAGAGATTCTATAAATAAGTGATTGGGCCTGAAAATAGAAGCAATCGACCAGGGAAGACCTCATAAGTCATTGGGCCTAGAAACGTCAAAAGGCCCAAAAGATCCATCAAGCGAACGAAGCGTTTTAGAGGGAAACATGGAGAACGTATGTTCGAGAGTACGAATGGAGAACGTGGGATCATGGAGAGGATTTACAAGTTACACGTGGTGTACAAAGAAGCAAAGTCCTCTAGAAAGTATTTATTTTTGTGTATTATAAATAAAGCATTTAGTGAATAATGTTAAGGATTCAAATTTTCACATTCCTATACACTAGTCACTCAGAGTATCCAAACGAATGAACGAAATGAGTCAAGCTAGGGAAATATATGTTTGAATCAACTTATTTTCAACTATTTTGATGTTATGTCATTTATGTTTACAGTTTAAGATGTTTTTCATTTTATTATACATGCCTTGCTTTATTGCTTATAAACTCGTTTGGCACCAGTCGAACAAATCCTTTTTAACACGCTTTATGAAAACACTCGAAAACTAAAGCATTGTACTGAAATTCTCTGGTCAATCTCGCAGTAAGATTTTGTTAAGAGACCAATGTTGTTTACTGAAACCAGAGGTAAACAAATTGACACACCCAGTGGGAAAGTGCTAATAATTTCATATTTGTGTTTGGTTTTATAAAGTTTCTTGTACTTTAGTTTGCGTGTGTATGAATTTAAGATATTTTCCTAATTCATTAACCAAATTTTTTTTTACTTGGTTTACAACATTGACTCCAAATTCTATAAGCACTTGGGAACAACATAAGGGCATATTTTATGAGCAATTTTATGTTGGTCAGCCTAAGATAAGTTTGAAAGAATTATCCTCAATCAAAAGGAGATCGTCTGAGTCAACGGAGGCTTATTTGAATAGGTTTAGGGTCCTAAAGTCTAGATGTTTTACTAGAGTTCCTGAACATGAGCTGGTCGAAATGGATACTGGGGGCTTAGATTATCCTATTAGGAAGAAGTTTGATCCTCAATCTATTACAAATATGTCTCAACTAGCTGATAAGGTTTGATATGTTGAATGTTTGAAAACAGAGAAAGCTAGAGTTTTAAAGGATCATAGAAAAGGCAAAGTGGCATATATGGTTACTGTAATACGGTGGGAGAAATGACTTGTTTTTTCATTTTATCGCAAATGTTGCAGATAGCAAGAGTCGCCACCGAATTTTCTTTTATCCAATAAGGAAAGGGTGAAAAGAACAGGAAATACCTTTTAAGATTTTGAGTTCGGGGGGTAAGTTATGAAAAGGGTAGGTGT